GGAGGAGGAGGAGGAGGAGGAGGAGGAGGAGGAGGAGGAGGAGGAGGAGGAGGAGGAGGAGGAGGAGGAGGAGGAGGAGGAGGAGGAGGAGGAGGAGGAGGAGGAGGAGGAGGAGGAGGAGGAGGAGGAGGAGGAGGAGGAGGAGGAGGAGGAGGAAGATGACTCAATGTCCAGCTGAAATAGATGGAATGAGGGAAAGCAAAGCAGAAAGGCAACAACGAGCAAAAGGACAACTCAAAAAAAGAAGAAGCGGATGGTCTCACGTTCAAAGTCAAGGAAAACTATTGGGCCATGCTCAAGTTCGGCGCAAGCCAGCACTTTCAGGAGGTTTCCCATGAGCCCCCTGGAACAGAGAGAGGGGACATTTCTGTGGGTGATGATGGGACGGGTGTCGGGGTTGTGCGTGTGTTCAGTGTGTGTGTGTGTGTGTGTGTGGTGTGTGTGTGAGAGGTGAAGGTGTCGGGGTGGGGGGCTGGATGAGCGGCTGTTGGGATGGTGGATGTATGTCCTGGGTGAAGCATGGCAACGTGGACACAGAGCTTCTTTAATCCCACTCCTACGGTAGTATTAGTAACTTGTTGGATTCATAATTACTATCATTTTTTTTGTAAAGCACTTTGAATTACCTTGTGTTGAAAAGTGCTATATAAATAAACTTGCCTTGCCTTTCATGATGATGGCAATCCTCAAGTTTAAAAAGGTCAACATGTTATAAAGAATACGTGAATGGTAACAAGAGAAGAGACTGTCTAACTAAACTTACATTTTATTTTGTAGAATTTGATGTTAAATAATGTACATTTTAGAATTTAGTCCTCCTATTGTTGCACATTTTAATATATTATTTCAATATATTATTTTGTGTTATTATTTTTTTATAGTAAACTGACCCAGGAATAAAGATAAATAAATAATAATAATAAATACAATAATAAACAAAATTATTATAATAATAATAATAATAATAATAATAATAATAATAATAATAATAATAATAAGGACAATAATTGGAGTAGAAATTAAATTAATTCTAAAAATAAAATAAAAAATACTATTATTATTTATTATTTTTACTCAAAAACCTGATTTTGCATGGGATCAAATGTGTGTTAATGGAGCCCTTGTATAGTTTGTATGCAGTTAAGACTTTTGAGATTGTATCGTGGTCAAATAATTTGAAATAATCCTCAAATAAAATGTGTTTCCATTTCCTGGTTGTTGAGAAATAATAAGTCAAATGTAATCCCATAAAATAAACATTTTACACTGAGGAGTTTAAGCTGACTGTTTAAAAGTAAATCAGTTTAAGCGGTAACAGTATAAAAACTCCTCTCTTTAATACAACTGCTTTTGGTTCATACTGAAGCTTGTTTTCCTCACTGTAAAACCTACGCACCGTGTATTTATACCATCATAGAGACAGCTTTCAGCAGCAGAGGGCTCTGAGAGTGGGACTAGAGAGCATGTGATAATGACAAACCACACCCACAAAAACACTCCATCACACCATCAACAACGCAGCAGCTCACATCCAAATACTCCTCCTGTGACCCCCCACCCGCCAGGCGACCTCCCACTGAACACCCCCGCTGCACACACACACACACACACACACACACACGTGCACACACATTTTCAGGCACACAGACACGTGCACACACCCCGGACGCTCACTTACTTTCAAAGTCCAGGAAAAAATGTGGACAGTTCTCTAAATCCTTGCCAAGGACCTTAATGAGGTTCCCCATGGCTGGCGACCTGGACGGGAGGACACAACAAAATGCATATAGTATACGCTCAACCTAGGAAAATACACAACCTGCAGGAAAATACACAACATGCACGAAAATACACAACATGCACATGGAGAACACAGAAGGTTTAGAGTGATTTAGTCATATTTTAACCAATCTGCGTTTTTTTATTGTCTTCTTCTTCCTCTGTCTAAACCAAGGGTTTCAAATATGTGGTATGACTTAGCAAAGTGTAAAAATACAGAGTAGGCAGTAACTGCAATTTAACTTTTATGTATATTTTATGTATACATTTAATATTTACAAGGCATGGGGATAACTTAACCTTCTTTTAATAGGTCCCACTTGAGTTTGTATGGTGGTGTCAGTTCAGGTGGTCAGGATTACATGTGGAAATGAATGTAATATCATTTCTAGAGTTAAGTAAATAGTTTTGATCCTAAAATAATATATTGTTCAGTTCCAGATACCACTGACTTAATGTGTTGTGCCTTTGTCGATACACTGTGATCTGAGTTTGACACCCCTTACACCACACACACATTATACTTAAGTCACTAAAACCTAAGAAGTTTGTTCAAAAATATTTCACAGTTGCAGCTTCTTAAAAAGTGTTGCTGTTTTTATTTAATATTTTAAATTATTTAAATATTTGTTGAGGTTTTTTTGCAAAGAGTATACTTTAACTCCTAGTAATGTAAGTACATTTTCCCACTTGAGCCCCTGAACTAAAATGAGTTGGACCCCCTGGTCTAACTGTCCAGAGACATCCGGGGTATAAATGACAGTAGTGGGTGATTTAAATCCCTCACTGGAGCTGAGCAGTGCTTTTTAATCCATTTACATTACTATAGTAACCTAATAAAAGCCTGCTATGTAGTCTCTTCTCCCCTAATGCTCTTGATGTGCAGCAGCCTATGGATGCTTTATGACGAGCTCTTTATGCTTCATACCCACAGGCCAGATGCCAGAGCTTTATGGACGCAATGATGCAAGCTTTATCAGATTATAGGTCAGATGGACAGGAATATATGTTCATGTACAGCACAGCACCAGACAGAACAACACATGTCAGGAGTTTTAGAGATAAGAGCATGATAGTGTCAAGCCAGGCAGTTTAAACTGCTGTGGAGACAAATATTATAAAATAGGGGTAGAGATGGAACCATTCATTTGGTTTTGATCCAAACCCAAGAAATATAAAAAAGGCAGAGCCGCCAATTAAAATGGAAAAACAGCTTATCATGTAGAGGAGAGCCATGAGTCATGATTTATTGAGTGGATGCATCATTGATAGGATCCTTCTGAATACATTTTCATTACCGTCAAATATTGAACCTCTTTTCTAATGTTGTCTAATTAATCATTCACAAGCCTGTTTAAAAAGCCATTTATTAGGAGTTTTGGGGATTTTGTGGCAAAAGATCATATTTGACAGTCTATAGAGTAATATTCCTGCACAGAATTTGATCTAACATGAGATGGATCTGCTTGTTGGTATCGATCCTGTTAGTGCTAGATAGGGCCGACATTTGTCCAAAAACTTTTATCCCAAAATAGGTCATTTCATATCTCTATAATGAAGCATATAGTACAGCATGCTCTGTTCTAACTCAATACACAACAAGTCTAAAAGCCTATTTGTGTGTACTCCTGTGTGAATAAAAAAACTTGACGTATTAAACGTTCCAAGTGTCACTGTTCTGATAAACACTGACAATGTTTAATCCAAAAACAATGTGATCAGCTTAAGATGATAGTTTGATATAATAAGAGTTTGATCAGATTTTCAACTAAATATGTTGTTTATTGTACTGTACTGAACTATTGCGCAGCCCTAATGCTTCAATATGTATATTCAGAACAAGACTTAGTAGTTCATTAATAGTAGTATTTTACTTCAGACATCTGAAATATTTCCATTTGATTTAATGGCGCAGCCGTACAAATTCAGAGTTTAAATATTCAACTAATCAAACAGCTTCATTAAAGGGCTGGACCAAAATGATAGAGAATAAACGTGATATTCAATTGCACAGTGTGGAATATAATGATTTCAACAACCTTACTTAAAGGAGGAAATTAACGGTTAAATAGATGTTAAGGCAACAAAGAAGGAGAGGATTAAGAGGCCACATGTGTCCGATAAGAAAACAAATCACACCAATCCAATTTTAAAATGGCTGTGAATGAAAGCCCTCAGTCCTCCTCCATCATAAAGGCCTTCGTTAGCAGAAGGTAAGCAGCTGCCAAGTTTCACTTCCTCTGCCGTACCCTCTGTGTTTATGTGCTATGTTAGCACACAGCGGAGGCCTATCAGTTTCCCCCCCTGCAAGACTGATTTATGGCCAGCATTAGCATGTTTACGAGATGCCACCAAGCTGCAAAGAAAAAAGAAAAAAAGCCTGGACTTTTTCGCTGTTACTCAGCAAGAAGTGGTGTTGCATTGCAGCACTGAGGTTCAGACAGAGAGGGGATGGAGTTACAGTGGACAGTCACCAGGAAAGCTCACTTAATGTCTCCAAAGCAGCTCTTTAATATGAGTACTGCATCTAATGTATTATATTTAACAACACAATCTGTTGGGAGGCAGAGAAAGAGAGCGTTATATGCTGAGCAGTGGCAGACAGTAACTAATTACATTTACTCGAGTACAATTCTTAAGTTTGGACATACTTCATTCATTCATATAAACATAGATACCTTTTCAATTTCAATATTAACTTAAAGGTGGGGTAGGTAATTTTTGGAGAAACCAGCTCGAGTGCGCTAGAATTTGAAAATACACAACCGGAAAAAATCTGCCACTTCCTTACAGAGTCCCTCCTCCAACACACACGAACGCGCACATGACCAATGAGGGCACGAGGTAAGTTTGTGCACAGATGGAAGGCTGACAGGCAGGTAGGCCATCCAGTTATTTTAGCTGGGCCGGCTCAGATGATTGGTCGTGCTTTTTACAGCGCTACGGCTTCCACAGATGACATTTTTTAATGGATTTTTTGTCAAAGCACTTAAGATATTCATTGCTATCGGGATGTTAAGAGCATTCCATGGAATATAACAAAAAGTGTATCTCGAGCCGGTTTCTCAAACTTACCTACCCCACCTTTAACTTCTCTTTGTTTATATATATAAATCTTTATTTTATTTTGAAATGTTATACTATATAAACACATGATATGCTGATATGATGCAGTACTGTACAACCAATCACCAATCAAGCCAGAATTTTGACAAACTACAACATTAAAATGTATTTTTAATGATAAAAACTGAATAATATAATATTATTTAATAATATATGACTCTGAAAAGTGCTGTTCTGCATATTCAGAACTTTTACTTTGGATGGTCTAAGTCTATTTTTACGTATAGTAATATATTTAAGGGAATTTTCATTTTAATGGAGGATTTTAAGACCAGAGTATGTCTAGTTTTGATTAAGTATCCGAGTACTTCTTGCACCTCTGATGCTGACTCATTGCTAAAGCCTTCAAGCATCAGTCCAGATCTGTAAAACGCTCCCCATATCCCCCTGACTTTTAGACCACCTGCTCCAAGATACACACCGCACGGACAGCTATGAATATATGAATAAATAAGAATAAGATTCACATTGTCAGCCTGACAAGGTGATTGCAAAGGCGAAAATCAAAATCTCCAGCCTCACACAAAGCACTGAAGTGAACGCTCTCTGACATAGTGAGTGTGTGTTATACGTTGCCGTACACACACACACACACACACACACACATTTACACACATACACACACATACAGTGAGGCTAGAGCAGCATGTGGTCCATCCTGAGAGCAGCGCTCGCCTGATGGTTGCCAGGATACTGTTGGCCTGGTGATATTGTCGAAGATGTGGAGGAAAAGGCATCGAGCTCTGCTCACACACTCGAGTCAGTTTCATAACAGTGATCTGATGCATCAATCTTTTAAACAGCAATCAGTCTTTGCAGAACACACACATTGTTACCAAGCCTTGAAAAAAAAACAGGAAATGAAGAATCGAACGAACGCTTCTCTCTTTCTTACCCTGTTTTCCTACGAGTGTTTCGCCTTTTCCTTTATCTTTATTCTCCTGTTTCCGTCTTCCCTGCTTGGTGAAATCGTTGCTGTGAGTAAATCCCAGGTTAAGCCGTCTCAGAGCGATACATTCAATCCCACCGTGGCACTGGTTTCATAGAGACTGATGCTAACGTCTCCCTCTGCCTCTGTGTATCTCTGTCCACTTCACACTTCTCCTTTTCAGCCATCTATTTAAAGCCTTTGTGGTTTTCTCTATTTGCTCTGCGTGCTAGATGCCGCTCTTTGTTTTGTGTTGTTCATGCTGTTTGTAGAACACGATATAGTCTGCCGGTTGTTAAGCATTAGATATGTTCAACGTTATTTACATTTCTGTCTTCTTCCTCTGGCTGTTTCGTCCTCGACTGTGTCTTTTCAACTCTAAAAGAGAAAACTATACGCACTCTTTTAGTTTCTGATGACAGAACGAGTTCCTCAAAAATATCCCCTCCGGCTCTCCTGTCTGCCTCACTTCTCTATTTCACCACTCAGCGCCACTTTCCCGGATCTTCTGGTGTCGTCTTGTCATCGAACATTTCTGTCATTCAGTCTCACTGTTGGCCCTAAGGTGCAAACAAATCTAAGGGGCAAAACGGCACATTTCCTCTTAAACTCAATAATCTCCATTACACACAAGCCACTGGATATATCACAGGCTGACTGTTTGAACATTTAGGCATTTTGTGAACTAGGAAGTATGCTTGGTGGCCACTGGTTAGAGTTTCTCTTACACACACTCTCAATGTTTGCAGTCAGCCAGAGTGAAAGTGGAGCAAAGTGCTTGTCTTGTGCAACTCAGCAGCACACAGCTCTCATCTGTAGTCCGGCAAGAGAAACCAAACCAAAGGGGGCTCCTTGAGTCCTAATGAAGACACTGCTCAGCTCCCACATGGCGGCTGAAAAGCAAACCTGGTCCAGACCGGGAGCCAAGCAGGCAGAACGAGGCCTGCCGAGCTTCCTTTCAGCTCGCTCTGAAAGCTTCCTCCTGTTACAGCCCAGGATCTTCACTGCTGTGGATTTACTGAACAGAATAGCTTGTCTTTGCCAAGACTAACTACTATTAACTCACCAATAACACAATCTGACTCTGTGTGTCTTTCTCTCTGCCTCTAAACCACAATGATCTCACACTCTGTCACACACAGGCTGAATGGGTAACCAGGCAGCATTTGTAGTGTATAAAACAACTACAGCCACCATCTTTACTCTTATAGTATCCATCCCCCCGTTTACCATTTGTTTCACTGCTGTGTGCTTATTAAAAATGTATTTTCCGATTCCTTAATATTCATACCTTAGCTTGTGTTTATCCCTCTAAAACACTTCACTGCATCAACCAGGGCTTGTCAGCTCCACACAGTGGTTACAGCATCAGCAGCCACCACCTGACAAAGAGACAGAGAGAAAGAAATCAACATAATATTCAACATCATGTGCAGTGTGTCAGGGAAAGCAAAACAGGAATGTAGAAGCCTTTAAATGTTGTTCTTAACTTGGAGTCTAACAAGGGCAAAAGCAGGAGTATAACAAGAAAGAGTGTAAGAAATAAAATCAATGTTTATGGCGTCATTTAAACTAAATACACTGTTTTAATTTAAAGCTGTTTTATTCTGAAAACCGGAAGTTCACATACACTTTTCTAATTTAAAATGGCTTTATTCTGAAAACCGGATGTTAGTAAATATCGTCACTTCTGTTTAGCATTAGCATGTGGCTAATTACTACGATTTGTAAAAGTGAATTTAAGGAGAAATGACACATGCTGTTGCACACTAAACACACTGTCTTTAACCCTCACTTATTGACACTGTAATACTGTTATTAGGGAATGTTTAAATAACCACAGATATTAATCAAATCAAGTTTTATTTATATAGCACATTTATAAACGATTTTTGGTCGAGCCAAAGTGCTGTACATATAATAAAAAATAGCCTACAGTAGAGACACTTTACACAAAATACAACAGCACAGATTGTTCAGAATATCAGTATGAGAAAAACGACACCCTCTGTCCTTAGATATTAGAATATTGTAAATGTAATCAGGAAAAGACAGTATATGCCTTGGACCCGCCCCCCTCGACGCCGGCCAATAGGAGAAGACTACAGTTGATAACACGTGGAGATGGGGAGAAACCGCTCTCTTTCAACTCAGATGACCAGCTGGCCACAGCTGATGGGGGAGCCACCTCTCTTGCACATTTTCATTTGTATAATCCATGGTATAATCGTATCATTTGTTTAATTACATGATGTTAACTTTTATATAAGCTTCCTTGGACTCTTTTCAGTTAATCCTGGTATCGGGGTTAGGAAATCCTTACAAGAGCAAATTAACATAAGAGTGAAAAACATGAATGATGTAATCAGGCTGCTGCTTGTACTGGCCTTTGAGGTGAGGATATTATTTTACCTATAGCTAACGTTGCAATGAAACTTGATCCACACATATTTAACCTGCTTACACATCTTCAAATCTTATTTGTATGTACTGTAACCTAAGATAACAGTTTTATTTTGCCCACCGCTACAGGAGAAACAAATCTAACTGTACACATAGGTTGATAGTCCCCACACCTTAGCCTACACAACAAGCAGATACAGAGCAATGTTGGCATACATTTAAAGTTGCAAATGTGTGAATGTAAATCCAATATTATTGCTCCTTTAAGCTCTGTTTCGGTCTCTGCTAACTCCTGTTTTAAACATATCAGTCTCTTTAGTTGCTGCATGCTAAACTATGTTCACTAGCTAGCCGCTAACCCTTTCTGCCCTGGGGGCGGGGTGGGGCAGTGGGCTGTGTGTTTGATCATCAGTTGGGGAACTCCATTTCGAAACCCGCCACTGCGTCAGGCCGTTGTGTCCTTGGGCAAGACACTTCACCCGAATGTGCTCCTGTGGGTAATGTCCACAGCACATGTATGATATCAATGTGTACTTGTAAAGCGCCTTGATGACTTCGAGGTGTGACGATGGGCGGTGTGGCGCAGTGCGCTGTGCATTGATTATCAGATCAAGGGGGCGAAACCCGCCGCCGCTGCGTCTGTAAAGCCGTTGTGTCCTTAGGCAAGACACTTCACCTGAATTTGCTCCTGTGGGTATTGTCCACAGTGCATGACCATTACATGTAGCCTATGTGTAATGTGTATTTGTAAGGAGCGCTTTGAGAGTCATTGAAAAAGCGCTATAATAAATATAAGGATTATTATTATTAGTGCCATGCGGGTGGCGTAAAGTGGTGCTTTGGAGCATTTTCAATGAAAACTGCTTCCTGATTAGTAAATTAAACAGTAAAAATCGATCTAAAACAGCTGTACAGTCTTTTTTGATGACCAGAAAAACAAGCTAAAAGTAAGCTAAAGAGCTCAGCAATGCTTCGAGGAAGAGCAGAGTTGGCTCATAAATCTACATGAGTTTTCCACTAGGAGCGAATACCTTAACATTAGATGTAGTAATTTTATCTGTTTATGTAATAACAAAAAGTACTTTAAGTGCCTCATGATAGTCCCAATGGAGTGATACCAAGTTTCAACAGCTGTTAAAAGCACTTATGTGTTACGGTAAGAAACAAAAGATGTATAGCTTCAATCCAAAATCATTAGCATTTCCCTTTCTAAAAGCTGAATGAGTTTAATCTGAGAACCTAGAAGGTGTTTCTTTCTTTCCTAATGTTTACAATGTGATAATAGATTATTTTTAGTCCATTATGCAGCTCTCAAAACTCCAGTGCTGTCTTACTGGTGTAACTATTAACACGACTGCTGCTGCCCTTGCATCATCTCATCAGGAGAGAATGCAGACAGGAGGGAGGCGGGGGGCTTTGAAGAATAGTTGCCAGGGAAACACAGCCTCTTATTCTCATGGCAACCCACAGCCATGTACTGTTCAGTTTTTGCAATCATGTGGATTGGAAAGAAGGATGGATGCAAAGACTCTCCTCTTCTTAATCTCCAGAGTGTGTGTACTAAAGCATTGACTCTCCTACTTCAGGGGTTGTAAAACCAGACCATTCACTCGTTGAATTAATGTCCTTTAACCCTAAATAGAGACTTTTATTACCTCAGCCAAAGAGGGTTCGTTTTTTTTTAAGCTCTGTGTTCCCTCAAAGTAAATTGCCTAATGCATATTGATCTCTCCTCTCTGGGAAAGGGCAAAGGTCAAGTGCTGCACGGGACGCTGAGGTCAAGAGAGGTGACGACTTGAACTAAGACAATGAGGTTAACCTGTGTGGACAAATCTTACTTTGATTGTTACATTTCAATTAAGTTTGTTTAGATTAACAGCATTTACATCAATAATTCTGCAAGTACGTTAGCTTCAAATAAAGTTGACTTTTTCCAAGGCCTTTAAAACGGACATGAATTGCTGAACTTTGTCTGCATATGAGTGTCATATATCACCTTTGAAAAGCACTCAAATATGTACATATTCTCGTGTTCAACCACAGAGAAGTAGTCTAGTTGTTTTGGGTACAGTCAGTCAGTGCATCATTAATGTAAACCAGCCCTGTGCAGCTTTTATCATCATAAATATTAATGGATCAAATTGAGAGCAAACATTACATTTTACTCCAGCTGCATGGCCCTGAAAACGCAGTGTGATGGATTACTGTTTTCAGTTCTGTTAATTAGTTGAGTGCTTTGGTTTGCCATTAGAGCTCCATGCCACCTGTTTGCTTTTTCAGCACTCCCCAATGTGATCTGCACACAAACTCTAACTTATGTCTCTGTAGTTGTAATGCAGCACGTGGGTTTTAAATTCAACTGCATTCGCTTTTATCAAATGTAGCATTACAGGCACTTTTAATCCCTGATTCTACTCAGTTTTGATATGTTAGAATACGGACCAATCAAAAAACAAGAAAATGAAAACCAACATAAGATGGATCGTTAACGGCTCCTTTGGTTAGAGGGTTGATACCATGACCCACCATGTCCTTGGTTTAAATTTGGACTCAGACTATTGTTGCATTTTTTTTTTTCATCCTGTCATCTCCACTGTTCATGTAGTTCGTCATCGTTTTTTAAAGCTCGGTTGGATGCTACTCAATCGAAAGCTGTTGGTACCTGTTCATGTGGATAGTTATGTAAATTGTAAATCCCTGTAATGATGCTGTATGATCAGGGGTGCACATAACTGGTACGCAGGTACGCATGCGCGGCAACAATCGGAAATGCGCACCGTCACTTGTGTCACAAAGCGCATAAATTGCGTACCGACCTACTTGTGAAGCTTTTCCAGAAGGCGGTTAGATCACCGGACGACAGAGTCGGTCTCCGTGTGCACAGACAGGGCTGCTGTTAACGTCGGCCTGTACAACGGAATTGTGCCAAAACTACGCCAACCTGCTGCGGAGGGAGACTCTTCCCCCCCCCCCCCCCCCCCCCCCCCCCCCTTCACTGGAGAACTGCGCTAAAACAGCTGATCCCAACGTTCAAGCTCTGTGGTCACAAAGTACCCCCCCCCCCCCCGTTGACGTTCGCGATACGGAGGGCTTCATCAAATCACTTTGAGTGGAGCCAGAAGTTGGAGTACTGACTCCAGGTACTCATCTGAGTACCTCACTGAGAAAGTTATGTGCACCCCTGTGTATGATGTCCTTTTTGTTGTTCTGTTTTTATGTTTCATGTGGAACCTACTTGAGCAGGTCTCCCTTGAAAAAGAGATCAATGATCTCAATGGGATACACCTGGATAAATAAAGGTTTGAAATTAAATGAAATAGGTTTTTTTTGTCTACCATGACTTGGAAACAAAACAATCCTCCCCACACTGTCCTAATTACTTGTTTCTACCACGTGACTGAAACGCCATACTGATGTGATAACAACTAAACCATTTTTATGACGGATAGTGACTCGATTTGCTGATAAGACTTTGTTTTGCCAAGCGTCTCCAGTGGTGCTTTACAAAGAGCAAAGGTGTAAACATAATTCTTCCAAAATACATCTTCCCATTTTGTGTTTTCATCATGCGAGAGGACCAATTGCTCATCAATCTATTATAGCCGTATCTAAGGTAAGACAACATGGACATTTGCAGTGTTACAGCAGCAGAGGGACATTGCAACAACTACAGGAAATACAAAAGTATAACAAACATGTAAACCGTTAAATAGTGATGGACTGAATATCAACATTTGCACAAAATACTTATATTGAGTGAATGAATACATTGTGAGTTTTTGCAACAGACTGTGTTGGTTTTTGTG